GCCTTGAGGAGCTTGAGGAGCTCGATGGCGCAAGTAGTTAGCGCGTTCGGTTGCGATCGTTGAAGTTAAGCAACTTTCGCAGTGGTCGGTCATTGGATGGGTGACCAAAAATCTTCTATCTCGAGTTCCTCCGTGCTTCGGAAGGCACGTTAAGCTGTTGGTCCCGTCTGCATCTGCAGTTGTTAGCACCTACCAATCCGCACTGGGCCCGCGTGGTGGGTCATGGCCCAATCACCCTATTCCATCCATGAGGAAGGCCTGTGCCCCAACAGCGGAGACATTAATTGGCTGATGATGATTTGTCTTTATTTCTGTATATGTCCTAAATAATATTTAATTAATGGGAAATCGAAATGTACCTACCTACAGTGTTAATTAATTTGGCATGCGAGCAGCGGAGATTATCAGGAAATGACAACCGTGGGAGCGGTGAGTCAGCAATTGGCAATGGACTTAAAGTATGATTTTTGATATTGTTCGACTTCAACTTACTATTCTTATCACGGTAGAGGAGTTTTTACGTTTAGGGACCAGGAGGCCTACGCTATTTTGACGAAAAATGAAATTTCGATCGAAACGCAAGTTTGTTAATCTGTTTCTTTCAAATTTTTAAAATTCATTCGTTCGTAAATAGTTTGTCAATTAAATTCTCTAAGCCTATTCACAATACTTTCGAAGAAAAGTTGAATTTGACCGATAATTGTTCGATATTTTAACCTTAAATTGACGAAATGAAAAGTGTTACCCTTTCGTTATCGTTTCGGGATTTTTATTTTAATATAGTCTGAAATGTTTGCTAGAGTATTTTTCATGAAGGCTCGAGCAACATTTTATAGTATATAAATAGCAAATAAACCAAATTTTTATTATTTATTGTATTTCTAATACTTCAAAGTATTAAAAGACATTTAGGTTGACATACAATCGATTGTATCAACTCAACAAATTAGTCGGCTAACACTGTCAAAAAAGGTTCTTTCAATGTCATCAAAAGTTTGGTCATAAAGTAAAAAACGTAATTTAAAAAGTAAACATAAAAAGAAATAAGAGAATTATATAACACCTATAGGTATGGTAAATAAGTAGTGGCTTATCATAACGTGACAATGAAAAGATAATGGCAATGTCGTAGTTCGTTTTATTCGTGCAACAAGTGTTTATACAATGTCTTTCGCCTTAAAATACTGTAATAGCAAAATATGCCGGCAGTGAATAGAGTCATAGGAAAAATATACGGCGTAACTTATCTTGTCTTTATTTTGTTCGATTTTGAGTGTAAAAATAAAATACTTAATTTGAGCTAAGGTTTTTCCACTCCAATCGGAGCGCCCGTCTAGGGTTCGAAATAGTAAACAATGGATTCAGGGAGCTTAGACAAATAGCCATGTTTTAATCGAGGGAACGCTTACGTATTCTTTGAAGTTTGAAAATTCCGCAGAAAATAAAAAATGTTAGTTTCTTGTCCCGTGTCCAGTAATTAGACCATATTGTCCCGGACTTCGATAATGTGCAAATTTCCGAATGACACCGCTGGCCTGCGTGATGTTTTAATTCTGGGGGGTGATGGGGGTTTGATTTGATATGCTTTATGTCAGCATCAGCAACCCTTTGAAACCCAAAACTTTGAATTAAGTACGCTCCCAGCTGCGCATACAAATTGACTCGCAGCCTGCTAATTTATATTTATTACGACAGAACTAAATGCTAATTTTAGCGCTTTTAGTACCAAACCTTCGTCGCGCAGTTGTGGGAGAATTATAATATAATGTTTTGGTGGTCGCTTACTATCAGGCTTTTTATTGGAAATAAAGCGCTGTTTACCCATAGAGGTATGAGAGACGGCTAGACTTTCTCATTATAATCGCGAAAGCGCATTGGATGAAAAACCTACGGATGAATACCGACCAATCACACGACTGCGCAACAATACCGACCAATCACACGACTGCGCAGTGTTACAAGAGAGAGAGAGAGAGAGATAGCTAGCCGTCCCTCATCTTCTTTCTCTTTCTACTAGACGGATACTTCCACTGGTAGTAGAGTACATAACTCCCCTACTCTATTCTTATACCTCTATGTGTTTACCAGGTTTTTTTACATTTAAAAGCCAGCTCTATAAGCTTAGTGCGAAGTTAGCTGTGACTAATAATTCAGGATCGTGTGCCTCTCCCGTCATGATCACCTACCGGCCTTAATAACTGAACAATAATATAATACATGTTATATTTGTATCTTAGGTCTTCACGTACACCACTCATTAAATAAAACAAGTTTCAACGGTATATATGCAATGATTTAATTATTTTTTGACGTTTCGCATCCTTTTCAGGATGCGTCGTCTGAATTTATAAATCATCATCATCATCAACCCAAGCTCGTCCATTGCTGGACATAAAATTTATACTGAATTTATAAATAAATCAGTGCCGTTGAAACTTGTTTTATATCATACATGTTTTGTAAAGAATAACCGCCAATTGCAATTTATCTCAGTGGTTCGCAATTGGCGGTTTTTCCACTCCATCTATCGGCTTATAAACACTCGCGCTATTTGTGGTAACCCCCATTTTCTTTCCGTCTATCAATTCCCTTTCTTTTCTGTGACTCTACTCTTGCTTCTTTCCAGCTTTTCTCTCATCCGTCCCCTACTCATTTTCATCCCCGCCCTTACCTTCTATCCCTGGCCTAATCCCAAATCGACCACGGGTAAATGTGAGTGTCTTTATGCCCAAAATATCTCGTACAATACTCACTATCACAATATCAACGAGTGTCAAAATATCTTAAAAACGAAATATAAAAAACGGCCGTTATCCAACCTCTTATACCCCGTGGAGGCCTGGAGCCTTGCTCATTGACAAAAACATAACACCACAATGAAATAGACTTATTTCACTGTGGTCCTCTGAGAAGATTTAATAATAAGTTAGTTAAGAAACTTACAATACATTTTTTGTATTAAGTTTTTTTATACTTCATAATAATAATAACTTTTATTGCTTAAAAACTGTGTATAAGAAGCAAAGTTTGTGTATTCGCCAGAACTTTGCGTCTCTATGCCTAGCAAACTCAAATCGTGACAAATATCCCAAAGAATAAAAAAATGTGCTAATATACCGAAAAAATTGGTGTGGTTTTATAAAAAGATGAAGCAAGTTAAACTTTTAATATCATTCATAAAAAAAACGTGTAACGATCGTGACGCTCGTAGCGTTTCAGCCTTCGCTGAGTTACCCTCCAACTTGTCGGGAAGAGCTGCGAACGCATTCTACGAACACACACTTCCATTAACACCCCGCCCGAAAAGAAGTTTAACTTAAAAAAAGGCTTATATACCGAAAAAAAAACTGCCCAAGTGCGAGTTTGACTGTCGGTCGGTCTTCGCAATTTTGCCTTTATCTGTACTATAAGACGTTACTTCGTACCAAATTTCAAGATTCTAAGTTCACGGGAAGTACCCTGTAGGTTTTGATTCCCGTGCGAGTTTCGAAAATTTGCGGCATAAACGGCCATCAAAATAAAAGCAAACTCTTGATTGCTTCCCCTTAGAAGTTTGATTTTTTCACAGCTTTGATGCAAGTGAAACTTTAAACATCATTCATAATAAAAAAGTCCTTCTTCGGCTAGAAACGGGCCGCCCACGTAGCAGACGTGCTTTCTATACCGCTGAGCCACGAATACTTGTTGATAAAGTTTGATTTTTAATAACAATAAAAATTAAAAGGGGGCATGCTAAATATGAACGAAAAAAAATTAAACGATGCAATAAAAGTTTCATATTAAAAACCAAAGATTTTGTTTTGTCTTTTTAGAATTCTATGATTGCTTGCTGTATTAAGTATATGGGAAATAAAACATGTAATTTTTTATGTACACATTTATTAGAAACGACTTAAATATCTACATTTTTATTAATCTATCAGTTCGTTAGGGCTCCGCTGATTAAGGAATACCAATCAAAATAACAACGTAGCACTTTAAGAAAAAAATAAGTTGTTACATAATAGAGTAGAGGAGTAGTGGAGTGGAGGAGTGCTCTTTATTATTTGTCTATGGTCTGTTTTGACGTTGTTTTATTAGTTTCAATGTTGCTATCTTAAGCACAGCTGTCATCAGACGTCAAACGGTCGGGTATAATACAGAGATACTCTCTTTGTTACACTGTGCCCCTTGTTACACTGTCCTCCTTGTTACACCATGCCCCTTGTTACACAAAAATTCTTCAATAAAATTTGAGCCAATAAAATGTCGCGACACAAGTTTTTTAACAATTTATATACACCAAGCACTTTCAAATAATGCGTAGGATTTTATTTAAGCATTATAAAGTCATGTCTAAAGCAAAGTTATAAAAGTAATTTTAATGTCAAATTTTCTAGTTGTCTATAGTTTAGAGAAACCTGTGAAAACTAATATTAAGCTAAGGTTTATTGAGCATCACAATTTAGTAGATTAATCGTTTTATTTTCTATATATTTACAATATTTTAATTTTAAAACTTAAACTATATAATTGTATGGTAATTCTCATCACCTTTTAATAGCTTTTATCAAAATTAATATGTAAAATCACAATTATGAATATATCGGTTGAATATTATTATTAAAAAAATATTATTACTATGCAGATTTAAGATTTTTATTCATTTGCAATATTAGGAGGAAAAGCAGTGTTTTTAATCCTTCATTCAACCCAATTCTTTCTTATACTTCGGTATATTTCACACTTAATTTGCAACTCTTTAATTGCTTCTACATTATATTAACTCTTCTTCATATTAACTTATAACATTACATAAATGTGGTAACTTACCTTGGTATGGTACTTACTTATTTAAGTTAATTATTTTATATACATTTTAATGGTAAGTAAAGAATTTTGTTTCATTACTAAAACAATTTGTGTTTTAACAGTTTAGAAATTTGAAAGAATATGTTATTCATCTTCGCTTAAGTGACCTCTAACATGATACGTTTACAAAATTATGTAAGTTTTAAATTATTTCATAGACAGGCAAAGTCATTCGTTTTAATGATTGCGATTTGGTAAAATTTATATAACGGTTTCGGTGACAGTATTATTTAATGAGTTTCGCTTAAAGTGTGAACTTATTTTATGCTGGCAAGTACGTAGTAATTTGTTTCAATGATTGATTATATGATGAGTTCCTTATTTAAAGGTAGCTAAGGATGATGACGGGGTAAATTAAACGAAATTCTTTTTCGTCAGTTAGATTATCAAAAAATAATAGACACTTATTTTTTTTTAGTCAATCAACCAAAATAAAACAAAAATAAAGCGCGTCAGTCTTTGGGAGTGGGAACTCACGACGTCACGTATAAGTAAAAATTGTACCGAGAAGTGACGTCATGCGACATTTCAAATCAATATATCCCTGTAATGTTTTGATTTTGTGAACAAGGAAAAAATATGTGTCTAATACTTTTTGATAATCTCCCTGATAAAGGAAGAAAAAAAGTAAGTGTCATCCCTATTGTGAGATTTACAGAATCACAGAGCATACAGGAAATGGCGTGAGTGTGTAAAGATTATTTTCACAACATTTTAGTATAGTATAATCTACTTATATCGTGAGTCGTGTTCAAAGTCCCGTGTTGCCGCAATACTCGCCGATGCGGTCGGAGATGCACTCGAATATGTCGAACGAAACGTCACAATTGCGACCATTATCTGAAAAAAATAAAGATATTATTATTTTATCTAAGACATTAATTTTTCAAAGAGAACTTTCTCATGGAGATTCTATGAAGTTTATTGTTCATTATAGCCTATATGAGCTATGAGAAAAATTTCGATGAAAACATCAGCCATTGAAAAGTTAAGAAAAGTGTCATTTGGGAACATATCGAGTCCAGGGACTATTCACTGAACTACTATATGTATATATATGTCACCGGCAATCTATGTAATGCAGGTATTCTATACAATACCTAGGCAATGCATAGAATGCCTGGGGCGTCTAGGCTTTTTGGAGCCGTACGAAGTCGATTATCTCATTCCCCAAAACGCTCAAATGCACAGCAAAATGGCCAACTTTAGATCAGCTAAGATCATATTACTGGTTTACTGACCCATGGGCATAGTCCGTGAGAAGTGGTCGTGGTGCCTCATGAGGCACTCTCGTGAGGCCTCCAGCACTGCCATGAAGTAGCCGCGCTCTTTGGAATTACATCCGACATATGACCGCTGTAACAATATATAGTTAGATACTGACCCATGGGCATAGTCCGTGAAAAGTGGTCATGGTGCCTCATGAGGCACTCTCGTGAGGCCTCCAGCACCGCCATGAAGTAGTCGCGCTCTTTGGAATTACATCCGATGTATAACCTCTATAACAATATATAGATAGATACTGACCCATGGGCAAAGTGCGTGAGAAGTGGTCGTGGTGCCTCATGGGGCACTCTCGTGAGGCCTCCAGCCCGCCATGAATTAGCCGCGCCCGTTGGAATTATATCCGACATATGACGGCTGTAACAATATATAGTTAGATACTGACCCATGGGCACAGTCCGTGAGAAGTGGTCATGGTGCCTCATGAGGCACTCTCGTGAGGCCTCCAGCACTGCCATGAAGTAGCCGCGCTCGTTGACGCCGTCTGAGTACAGCCCCACCAGACCCTCCAGCGTGGGGAACCCGTAGCCATCGACCTGGGATCACCAAATATCGCAAATTACTTTTTTACCACTAAGATGGTGTTTCGTCTATCTGGATTCATCATATCATACTTCATTTAGATAGGTTTTTACACAAGATAGTGTACCCGTCTATCTGGTCAACCTACATGGGAAAAATGTATGGTGATGTTGAGCATGAGGTCTGCCGCAAACATAATAGTAAAACATTCTATTATACAATAACGTTAATTTCATAATACGGGTATCTACATATAAAAAAGAATCCCTTATTCCTTTGATCTTGCTAGAAATTAGGAACGATTTTAGAAATTTCATCCATTCACAAACCCGGCAGTTGGTGCTGCCATCAGGCTTTAGATTTTTTGTATTTTTATCGAGCAATTTCAATATCTGATAGCGGACATTCCGCTAGTGTAATCATAAAAATTAATTGGCAAATAACATAGTTTTGAAAGTATGCGTATTTTTAGAATAACTATGTACTAAAATGATTCTGACAATTGTTTGACGACAATAAAAGCTCTCATGGAATTGTTTTTGTAAATAGGATCTCCAGAAAACTTTGCGTTCTAAGCGGGTATTCCGCTTTATCTTAAAATTTAGATAGCTGCTAACTTCTAAGGCAGAGTTGTTTCATTTATAGTGTAGTATATTTGACTATATAATTAAAATTCTATAGAAAAAATAATCATTGAAAGAAAATTATACTAGAAAAAATTAGATTTCCTTAGATTTAAACATCTAGCTATAAAATTAAAAATGTTTAAAAATATAAGTAACCATTTTCCAAAATTTTATACATTTAATATGTATTTGACGTGACATTAACTATAGCCAAATTTAACACGTCTTAAGTCAAATTTAACTCGTGTATCAAAAACAACGCGGTCTTAATCAGTTGAAACAGCAAGCACAGGATGTGCGGACGATAAATGATCACCACAGCCTTAAAAGGATTTTAAAAATCGCGATAGCTTAGCGGTTAACATAATAATATTAAAACATTCCTAAATTTCAGGTTAGTTTATTGTATGATTTTTGAACCGACTTCTATTTTGCCTTAAAAAGACATCAACGCAAATAAATCTTTCTGATATCTTTACACGAAATTAGGGATAATTGGATAATACTTTTGAAACTAATAGTTGATTAAGAATGGTTACGATTTGTTGTTCTTTTAAATTCATCAGTTGCTCAAAAAAGGAAGTTATTAAAAACAACATTTTTTTTTACTTTTATTCGAGTTCTTTGACCTTCGGGACTTTAGTCGAAAGGTAAACCTAGAATTTGCAAATTAGTAATTTTCCGAAGCAAGTGGTGAAAGCAAAGGCCTGCAGACCTGCTGTCAGGTAATCTGTCTGCGTACCATTGTATCACCGTTTTTTCTTTTATTTCCTTTACTCGTACTTTTTGCAATAGGGATGAAGTAAACGAAATTCGATTTAGTTAGTCACTTAGATTATCAAAAAATAATGAACACCTATTTTTTCTTTTGCTTATCAACCAAAAAATTACAAAGATAAAGCGCGTCAAAGTTTGGGAGTGGGCTTGTGATGTCACTCTTTAGCAAAAATATTTTCAAATCAATATTATGCGTGTAATCTTTTGATTATGTGTAAAAATAAAAAATACGTGTCCAATACTTTTTGTTATTCTACCTGATCGACGAAGAAAAAAAATTTGGTCATCATCCCTATTGCATAGTGTAATGTAATTCGGGAGATAACATTTTGGCACCCTATGCCTCATGTGACACTACAAATTACAAAATTCTTGCTTCTAGTTTTTTCTGACGCTTCACCGGCCGCTACTGGCTGCATGCTAGCTTTGCTTGCTCGGCTCGCGCGTTATGGTCAGAACACTAACCTATCCTAACCTAGTGTGAAGTATCACCACTTGGGCCCTGGAAGTACAGTTTAGCCAAATTCTTTATTCCTTCACAGCGTGTACAAGGTGTGCAGCAAATTCACAGTATAAGTACCTACTTATAACTCTATGTTAGAGACTGGCTTCTGCGCTAAGAGAATGCCTGTATGACAGATAACCAGCCTCTCCGCCTCCGACATTATTAACAGCGCGACCTGGATAATTATGAAAGTATGAAAGACCTGTGGCCTCGATATTTGTATGATGAAGCACAGTTAACTTCATGAAGAGTAAAGACATATACAACACTTTATTTCATACACGATAGTGGGTTTAGAAGCACAAGCAAGCAAGCTATAATCTTAATTTTACGTCAACTTTTACTTTAAGGATATACTTGCCGTGAGCTTCATGTAATTAGATCAAACATCAATAACTTGTAACAAATGGAATTGGAAATCTTGTTCCATATAAGTTTATAGTTTATACTTTACTTTTAATCTCCAGAGTTTGTAAGCTCTCTCTACATAAGAAAGATGACCAATTGTTTTCTGCGCCTGATAAAAAGACATGAGCGGTCGTTAAATCCCAACCTTGAAGCATAGATAGGTGCATTTTTATATCCAATACAGCGTTGTGAACTGATATTGATAACAATAAAAATCCAACTGTCCGCTTGCATGTTTATGACAGTCATATAACCTTTGCAGGGCGTTTTTTTCATAAGCTATAAATAGATAAAAAAAATCCCTGTACCGACTTTACGACTTCAGTCATATGTTTAAACAAATTAGAGCAATCGCTCGTGACACACAACCATAAACCAATAAAAGTCGATATAAAATTATTTTCTGTTTTGTTCTTTTTAATTGTCCTTTTTGATTCGTCCGTGGACCGGGCTGGATCGAACTTGATACTTTTATAGACTCTCAGTAATAGCCATCTCTTACATTTAATAAATTATCGTGGAAAGCTACATTTATGCCTTATAAATTATCGGAATAGGTATATAAAATTAATATAAAAAGCGCGAAAACAATTCAGCTCTCTGTTTCTCTGAGAGTTTTTATATCTCAATTACTGAAATTTATGAATATAACGGAGGAAAAAGACAATATTTTGTCCCCCAATTACGATAACTAAATAATATTTGTACGGAAAAAGTTTATTCTACGCAGGCAAAGTCACAGATATCCACTGGTTTGATATAAATCTTTGCATCTAAGTCCTATTGCGAGCTGCTTTCGCTTCACGGCTGAAAATTTATTTACATAAAAAAGGCAATTTAGAAAGTGTACACTTCTCCTAAACAACAGACAAATTCTAGGTAATGAGTACACGGTCCGTACATTATTATGACGTCGTAATTGGGGTCAAAAAGTTCCTGCCAAAAGGAGATGAAATATTGTGTCTTAAGTTATTATTTGGATGCCAAAAAAAATTCTGCCAAAAGAAGTTTAAATTAAAGTTAAAGTATCAGTTATTGTTGCCTATTTTATATTACATTCAAACATGCGAAAGTGGAAATCCTTCATTAATATGAAAATCTGTGTATTTAGATAAATTTACTTTAATATTTTCATATTAACTAGCCTATAAGTATCACAAAGAATATGAAAATTGTGTATTAAGAAAATTGTTTTGTAAGTGAATATTGTAAAGCTTCAAGCTTTAACTTTCAGATTAAGTTAGTTTTATTGAATTGTGTATTTAATTTTTTACTGTAACTGAAACATTATAAGTAAAAATATGCAGCACGTTTTTTTCAGCGCCTAAAGTTTGAGTGTTTCCCTATAAAGTTCATAAAATATATTCTTAATCTCTGGATCAAAATTTCAGAAATCAAGATCAATTTTAATTTAATTTAATACAGAATTAATCATTAAAACCATTCCCGTGTAGATATTTTTGAATTCTAGAAGTCAGGCTCCCATGTAAAGTAACTTACTGTCAATAAATGTATGATATTTCTAAAAATTCAAGTCAAGGGTCGTATTCTAAATATTTGCAATCGTAGTTTGAAAGAATTTCGTAATAAATCGAATAGCTACAAGCTTAAAATTAACTTTCTTATGGAATTTGTACAAATAATTTTCTTTGTCTTTTAAGTGCGCTCCATAAAATAATAAGTGTCTTCATATACAAAAAAACTTCAACTGTGGCTATTTAATTGTTAATAGCAGTTAAATGCTTAAAAATAAAAAAAGAATTGAAATTATACATGATTCAATTGACTTATGGAAAGCTATTTTGAATCGTCCAAGTTAAAGTTCCTACTAATAATGTGCCAAAAGGTACATAACAATTTTCCAGTGATCTATTCATTGTATATTTACGGAAATTATATTTCCATGAATCATTTAAGAACCCTTTCACATTTTTTGCAGAAAATCGTAATTTTCGAGCGCCTCGTTTACCCCCTTAGAAAAGATTTTGACTATTTCCAATAGAAGTAAACAGTAGATTTCCGTTTGTAAGTTAATGTAGAATATTTGCAAATACTATTTTCCTTTTTTTGTACTGATCGTTCTATTGCAGCTAGTTTACGGAAAAAACCATAATATGCACAACTTCAAACGCCTCAATCTCTCAATAATGTTCAATAAATTAGATCAAATTATAATTAATATGTCGTAGCAATCTACGATATCAGAAATGTTTTTGTTGTAACATAATCTATTAAAATGAAGATTTTCCATCGCATTAATTATCAAAAAACATCTAACCTCCGTGAGATTTCCCAAAAAATAATGCCGGTTTACCTCGGATTTTGCTATTGAATTAAATAGAATTACTATCAAAAACTTTCATAAAACTAAACTACTGTCATTGAAGATATTTTAATAATTAATTCATTAATAATTATTCTATAAGACTCGAAACATCACCCGTAAAATGCAATATATACTAGTGCAAATATACCTACGCGCCGATCAGTACGGTAGCGGCGCAATTTTGTAAAAGGGCTCTTAATGATTGGAAATATAAATTCTCAGTATCCCCTGTAATGGCACACTAGTCCAAGTACATAGCATTATATCATTAGTCTCATTAGAAGATCCAAAAATATCCTTTTTTTTTACTAGCAATTGTATTTTTTGATTGCCCCAAAAAAATAGTAAAATATCACCTAATAATACAATAATTGGTAACCTAAAGCATAGGACCTATGCTTTAATTCTGAGTTTCTGTTTGAAGATCAATTATTATTTTTTGATGATCATTAAAATATGTCTCTAATCATTAATGCATTCCTACTAAGAGCAAAGCCAACTAGTTTGAATTCAGCCTAGTAATGGGAAAGTTGAATTCTGGTTAGTGAAAAAGGTGTTTTTTGGGTTATACGTATAATCGACTGAGGATCGTCTCGATATTGGGATTAGCTTCCTTTTTTTTATTACGCAAGCAAAACCTCTATTTACAGACGTTGGCGCCCTTAAGGGGCACAGCAACGAACGGACCTCACACCTAGCCTCTCGCAAGTCTCACGGGTGCGAATCGGAGAAGCCGTTAAGCAGTCCTCGCGGCTTACGAGCGCTAACGGCACACTATCCGCTAAAAAACCCTGCGAATACCCTGTACGTTGTTAAGTGCGGGACCGCTAGATCCCCGTTGAGGGACTTCACCGCGTCAAGGGATTAGCTACCCTGGACATCAATCACAACACTAATGACATAAAAGTGGACAGCGACGGACCAATGCAGCGTAGTGTGGTTAATCCGTGTGGCGAGTAAAAGTCGATACTTACCGCTTTCACTTTCCGATAGACGCATTGCAGTAAGCACTGTAACAAAATGGTAACATTATAAAAACAGTTGTGGATACGCTTGTTTCTAAAATAGTTGTGTTAAAAACATTAGAGCGGAGATGAAAGTCTTACATTGCTCGATGCATTTATACTGATTTTAATATACCTGCCAGAATACCAGTGTTGTTATGGTGGGAATATTCTCTCCTACTTTAACTGCAGTAAGCTGAGGCAGGGTCCTTTCATTGGCCTTTTTTCTCTCTCCTTATTGTGGCTTTCTATTTATTTTTGTTGTTATTGCTATATTTATTGTTTTTTTTCAACCACGTATGTGTAAGGTCTATAAAAGCTTTTTCCTTCTTTCTAATATTATAAATTAAGGACTATAATAATATGTTTGTTAAGGTTTCTAAGGCCTAATTTAATATTTTAGATACATTTTTGTACAGAAACAATTAGGATACAGAGGTAATAGTTACGTTTTGTCGTCAGTTTTTTATCGCAGGTGAAATTGCGGGCAACCTCTACTAATTAAAAATAGCCTTTTCTTGTTAGGTTACACCCACAAAAGGTAGATAAAAAAATGGGTGTAGACAAGTTCTTATGCAGAAGTCACAGCGAAAGATTTCTAGTTTAAGGCTGTTGTATTTTAAACAACAAACACGAACTTTATTTTTTGCTTCATATAAATAATATTTTTTTTTCTAGTAACACTTTTCTTTAGATTTAAACATCAAGCAGTTAAATGTTAAAAAAAAAACTTGAATAAATATTTGATTAGTTATTAGAATATCTTCTCATTGGAAGAAGATAAGATCATAATGATAAGAGAGGTAGGGCATAGCGGATTTTCCGATCGAATTGTAGAACAGAAGAAATAACACTACTTTTTGGTGGTGTTTTGTTTCTCGGTAAGTAAGGTTTTAAGGCTTCGCGGGGTAGGGAATTGGTTCAGGGTAGGCAACACGAGTGATATTTTTTGTATCACAAGCGTCTATAAGCTTACCATTTTTTTTAATACACTCACACCAATTAGCCTAGCCCCAAAGTTAGCACTGTAAGGCTTTTGTTATGGGATACTAGGGTAACGGATAAAATATATATAGTACATATATAAGTATATTTATATAGAAATACATATTAAACATCCATAACTAGAGTTCAAATGTTCATCACACTCACATCACTGCCCCCACCGGGATTCGAACCCGGAACCTCTCGAGTCGGCGACACCATGAAACCCGGCGTACAAACCATTCGGCCAAGGAGGTCGTCAATATTTCACAGAACACAGAAATATACTTGTTTAACACCCTTTACATATTAAAATTAAAAAAAATAATCGACTCACTCCGGCTATTCTCTTCTCATCATGGGTGAAAGGCACCTCCCTCTTGTTCCTTCTCTTCTCGGCCGGCATTGTGTGTTCTTCTTTTATCACGTCTAGTGCTTCTGTAATGTTATATAGAGACATATTTTAATAAAACAGTCTTTTTTTATATTTACTAATTTAGTATACACAGAATTAAACAGATAACAAGAACAGGAACAAGAAATTTGTACAAGGGCACTGCTTATTTCATATTGAAATTTCTTCCAGCAGGCCCGCGAAAGGAAAGAGCATATATATAAAAGGTAGATATAGACTTAATTTTCCAGTCTCTGTAGCATGAGCACCACAATTACCATTATATCACGTTTTTTATCGCGTTGAACTGTCAAACCCCATAGAAATTTGACAGTTGAGCGTGATAAAAACGCGTTTTGCTCATGCTATATATGATATATAAAAAATACTCAGAAAATTGATTCATATTTATGCTTGCACATTTCAAGACACTGTTAAAGTTCAAAAACATTGATTCTGATTGTGTGGGAACACTATCGCCCTGATCATCAGATTAATGACAGAAAGTTTTGGAACTCAAAATTTTGGGAGATTTTCTCAGCTACAATCTTCTACAGTGATTTATCGGAGCGACATCCGATAAATCACTGTAGAAGATTATAGATGAGAAAAGAAATATGGCTGGATAAAAATATATAAAAAAAGTTTATGGCAAAAAATAAAATAAAAAAGAAAAGAAAATAAGAGTAAGTAACCGATCACTAAATATGGTAACACCGAGCGTCTATAGCTCGGTGTTATCATTCTAAAAATACCTATCATTGGTTCTTGTTGGTCATTGGGACCACTTCTTTACTCATACTGCTGAAATCCTACTGTAACAAATTTTTTGAACACGTTTGCTAAAAAAATCGTTAACGGAAGTTCTATACATGGTTCGAAAGTTCTAAATTACGAACCATACAACAGATCGTGTGGTAAAATTTTACCGCTCGGTCCGGCTATGTCATCGTGTGTATCGATTTACTATCGAACCTCCTTACAAGCGCTTTTTATCTATACGTTTTGCTCATTTTAAACTAAAAAAAAAGAAAAAAAAGAGCCGAAACATGTAGTTTTAATTTTCACCACTAGCACGTGGCATCACGTGGAAGCGTCATTTTGATCTTAGAGAAAGGTTGCATCATTACTTAAAAATTATACTGTTTTCTCGAAAATGTGTTCAAAAACGTTATAATTATGACATTCGTGCAGTATTGGTATTTACCAACTTAACCAATTTACAGAACTAATATCATAAATAACTATTATAATAAAAAATATACGTAAGATTACAGTGCTTAGCAGATTCATGTTTTCTGTGATATGATATAAATCGTTTAGAAAACTATCACTGACAATTAAAAGCAAGTCACTTATTATAATGAGACAGATATTTCAAAGAACATACTACATTTCCATTTTGGTAGTCTCTAAATAAAAGTAGAAGAGAAAAGTACATGTTTTCATAAAGGAACTAATATCTTACAATATCCCCCTTATTAATAAACGAAGACTGAGCTTGGATTAGTTACTCCAAGTTTTGTCTTTGTTCATTGAATCACAAGTGGCATTTGAGTGACATGAACAAAATACGGCATAACTTGTCTAGAGTCTGTGCGGAAATACAATGGGCGTGGCGAAAAACGGAACTAACATTAAGATTTTTATTTGGCAATCATACGCAGCAATCTGTAAAACGTCAAAGTTTTGTATTGATACGAATTTGTTTGTTGTTGTGATTTCTTGCGGTTTTTTGTATTTAATCATGTCTAAAAGGGGTAAAACCTTACAAATACGGTAGAAAAGCACTACAGCGCCCTCCAATCTAAATCCCATTCTCTTTCCGCACAGACTCTAACCGTATTCCTCATTTATAAATAAGGGGTTAAAGTAAAGTTATAGGTTTTGTCGGGTAAACAGATCTAGAGTTATTGATTGCATTATTTAAATTAATGCAATCAATAATAAATTCTAGATGTGAATAAAGTAATATATTCTAGGCTAGATATTTTATGGCAAATAAACGAGATTTGATGTAACACATTCCCAGTAATAATGATTTAAAACGATGGAACAGCTAAAGTGGCGAATAAAAAATGGAGAAAAAAAAGTACTGAAAATCAACATGTTTTATTGATCGAAAACATCTTACGCTCGCACTTCGTTCAAGGACTGAAAATAATAAATTTTATCATTTTATTACGTATAAGTATTTTACTGTCTATCTGGATAAATGTGATATCCTTCTACCTGTATCATGTAAGGGCATTAATAATGCTTTATTATTTATTTTATTCAGATGTCCCTTCAATTACAAAAAAAAGGAATTTTGGTTGCGTTTATACAACTAGGCAAAAATCAATTTTGACAGAACGCTTCATACAACTCGAATATCGAGTTGGCTACGATGTTCAAGTTTTAACGTTATGTCAAAAAGGTTTGTTTTTTAAATATAAAATTTGAAACAAACAAGCCTATAGTATAAACGACTCAACAAAAAGAGAATCACCCGATCGTTAATCTATTTATATAAAACTCAAAGGTGACTGACTGACATAGTGATCTATCAACACACAGCCCAAACCACTGGACGGATCGGGCTGAAATTTGGCATGCTGGTAGATGTTATGACGTAGGCATCTGCTAAGAAAGGATTTTGATCAATTCTACCCCCAAGGGGATAAAATAGGGAATGAAAGTTTGTATGAAACTTTGTCAATTTTAAACCGATCGGACTGAGACTTTGCATGCAGGTATAAGAAGAATCATAGATGAGAATGTCATTGTGTATAATACAAGCCTGAGAACAACAACTGTAGTCTACATTTTAGATCTACACCGAAGCGAAGCGAGGGCAGGCCGCTAGTTAAGTATATGAGGGTTAAAGTGTTTTTATAATGTTCCTCGTTATAGCGACATTAGAAATACACATTATGTTATATTAGTTATCTATATGTTACGATTCATGCGACGACGGCCTTATTATTTTCCTTTGGGTATTGCACTCTTAAAATTGCTAAAGAGAGGACAGAATCAAAATTAGAAGTGAAAACGAACTAACGAGCAATAATAATAATATCGGCTCTAAATCTGCATCTGTGTATTAGAGTTCAAATGTGTAGTGACAGAGAAGTTCTAGAGTTAAATGATTACTTATAACAAAGCCAGTTCATCGGGTATCTAGAAGTCTGACAATGTCATGCCTCGTATTTTGCAAGATTATATATTTGTGCATATATATTGAACAGCTTGTAAAGAACTGCCTATGTATTTTCTTACTGTAGACTCCAGTTAGGATTCACATCAGGTGCACTCGAGTTATTTGCTTAAGGCATTTTAAAATATCATATTCAGAGTTAAATATAACTTCGATTGAGCCCTTCTCCATAGCGATCCATTAAAGGTATCATTTAAATCGAATTATGTATCGCGCTTTAGACCGACTATGCCCGTAAAAATGTACAAGGATAAATAGTAATGGGTTTACGTTAATCGCTTAATGATTGCAGATGTGTACCCGATCTTAAAACACGATCATGTAACCGTCCTTTTTCTTGGAATCTGGGCATTACTCTATATTCATGATATTTGCTACAGTCGAAGAGATTTAAATAATACATAGTTGTTTAATGTCTTTGGCTACGTCACGGCTAACTTGGTAAATACCATTTTATTATTGAGAATGCTTCTGTAGCATCAAGTGCGTAGCGCATTTTTGTTTTATCGCATTTATGTAAGTAATTTTGAGACGGTTTTTTCTCCCACGGTATGTTTAAAATTCTTTATTGAACAAGAATCCCATATTGATGATTGTATGACGAAATAGTACATTTTCATTAAGGTCTTACTGGTTACAGATTCAGAGCATACTCTTAAGCTATTTTATGCAGAAGCAATCGAAAATTCGAGAGAACTACATTGCTACTTTTTTTTTGGAAACAAAATGTCTTCCTCTATTGATCCTCCTCCTTATTGCAACCAGTACAATCAGGCGCATATTGCGCGAAAGAGAAGCCGTTTTCTTTGCGTGATTTATTATTTAGGATGACTCTATCTAGGCGTATAAAGATTCAAAGCCCTCATCATGAAAGAGTAAAACAGTTATCACTGTTTCATGACAAGCTGTCCCGGTGTGAACTTTATTGACTCACTTTCTACTAGTTGAAGCGACAAGAGCTATTATAAAGCTTTTTGTTCATCAACTCATTTCTAGTTTTCTAGTTCTACTGTTATGCTTTTCACTTGTCGAGAGAGTTGGGAAAAGTATCTTTCGCAGTTTATAAAGCATAGACTTTCAAAGACTAAGGAAAGCGATATCTTTTAATTCAAAATACCGACCAATTTTTCCTTCGTACGTACATGAAAAATCTGATGTACATTAAGTAGTTTGGGAAAAGGTATAGATTTACCACTAATATTGCGGTAACAAAAAATATAGATAGGTAAATGTTAAAATTTAATGAAGTTTGATCATGCTAGTTAAGAAATATTTCCGTTCATTATCTACAAATATGTTACAATATCGACAATTTTCGCCGCGTGCAGGAACTACGGTTACGTTGTGTTAACTTGCGTTAATTTCCTTACTTGCATTAACATCAACCGCTGAAAAATAAATGTTTTACTTCTATTATAAGATTTAATTCATTAAGGTTGTAAATTAATCATTGTGTCATATTTCATACCATTGCAGTGAATGTTTATTTCATATTATTTATCCATTTATCCTTATGTTTGATTGCATTTTGAACTTTGTTTTACAATGTTTTTCATTCAAGTATAAAATGTTATTATTCCCGTATGTACTGGCAGAAGACTAGCAGGGAAAAAAGTCAATAATATTTATAGATAGGGAATTGTCAATTATCGCATATACTACTAAAAGATGCAATCAACCAATAACCTTCTAATTCTCAATCTTTAAATTGTCGGGAAAATTTTAATTACATTGAATATGAATAATAAAAGTACATATTGATTTAAATACCATACCATTGTAACTAAGTGAGTGATGGTACCATTTTGTGACTAAAAAGTCCGGCCTTTTTTCGAAATGTCAGGA